GGAGATGTAAACTAAGGCGGGACTTCCGGGAGTTGTATTAGACGTATCGGATAGGTTGTAAACTCCTGAGTACCTAACCAATGGGGAAATGGAGGAGGGTCTTTTTGCTCGGGCAGAGGGAATAAAAGGTGCACGTATCTTATTACAGGGTGTGCCTACTTGGTGGACACCTGCCTTTGCAAATGCGTAAATAAATGCCTTGCTGCTTCATTGGATCTTTGTCTCAATTCTTTGAAACTTGAGGGTTGTTTCTCAGAAGGAGAAGAAGAAGGAGAAGAAGAAGGAGAAGAAGAAGGAGAAGGAGAAGAAGAAGGAGAAGGGTTTTTTGCTTTGTTCAGATCCAGATTTTAGTTGTAGATTTGCAAAAATCTCCTGTATTTGATTCTGGACTCATGATAGGGGGTGATATAATAATTCTCTTTCCTATCTTTGCAAATTCCAGAAAGATTTTGGGCAAGTCACAGAGGCTGGAGATATTGCTGAATTCCTGGCAACTTTAAGAAGCTCAGCCAATAGGGAAGAAGGCTGGGAGAAAATGTCTGGAAAGTAAAAAATTACCTACACTTGTACTAGAGCAAAGGTTCTCAAGCTTTGTGGTCCTCCAACCCCTTAAAATGATAAAGGAATATGGTGGACCATTCCAAGAATAAAAGTATATGATAGCCCTTGTAAATGTAAATGATTAAACCTTTTCATTGGAAGTAATAAAATAATCAAATATAAAACCATATTTTTAAGTGGGAAGGATGAGTGTGCTTTGTTTTTCATAAGTCCATAAACCTGGGTTATATTTTTGAGGCCACACATCTTAAACTTGCTGAGTTGAGAAACACTAGTCTAGTCTATGGTTAACTGGGGTTTTTCTACAATAGGAGGCAGCATCTAGCAATCTTGGTTGATCTTGAAAAAGCTAAGTTGACTTCTTTAATTAGAGAAAGGAGAATATCCACATTTACTGGTGACTGGAAGCCCCTCATGGAATTTTTGCATAAAAATGAAAAAAAATGAACTTGTGATTTATGGTTTTGATGATTAGACAGGTTCGATTATAGAAAGAAGAGAGTTAAGATGTAACTTTAGAGAGAGAGGTTAAATATAATTGTACCTATAACTGCTGTGAAGAAGATTGGAAGCTACTTCTTTATACCTTTATATCTTTATATCTTTCTTTTTTTTTCTCTACTACTTTTTTTCTTATTGCACTTTTAGCTTTTTCTGTTATTTCTCTCTTTCTTTTTTGTTTTCTTTGTTCTATTTTCGTTTATATTAGTTCTTATTGCTGTTATAACTTATATGTATATGAAAAAGCTAAGCGGGGCAGAATTGGCTACTATCGGATGAGAAACCACTAATGTAGACTGAGAGGTTTAAACACATTCTGGAAGAAGGTAATGCAAAGCACATTGTTACTCTTGTCAAGGAAGCTCTGTTGCTCTGTCCGGGTATGTACTAGAAGTCCAGCTTGAATCTTGCACAAGAGTTCAGGCGTTCAGGAAACAGTAAAACGAATGTCATCCTTGAGAGGATTAGGAAACAGGACGGTTATGTTCAGCCTGTTATGTTCAGCCAAATGTGCCTGGCTGAATTTCTCTTCTTCTCAGGGTCATTCAGGGTAATTATAATAACATCTATGTGGGATCTGTATCAGAAACAAGCAAATAGATACTCTTGGATTCTTGGTGTCACCCAGATTCCTTGTGCTACCCAACTTAGTTTGGAAAAAGAGTTTATTAACTTAAACAGCTGATGGGAGAAGGCTGGTGAGGCAAGAACCAGGATGTTAAGGGAGATTTCCTAGAGCGGTACATGACTATCTCTGCTCTAAGTACATATGTTCACTGGCTGGTATTTCTCAACTTTGTTAACTTCCAGATGAGCAAGGATCAATTTAGGATTCTCAGCAATAGCAATAGTGATTGGGAAACTCTGGGAATTGAAGGCCACACATCTAGAAGGTCAGAGTTAATGCTCCCACCAGATATGCCTTGCGTGTGTTCAGTAGAATGTCTTCCTCTCCTTTTTTGGGGCCTCCTTCCATTTGAATCTACTATTACAGGTAAGATGACCCTTTGTCAACGTTTGGTGTAAAAAGAATGCAATCTAACGTTAGCCAGTACTACGCACACTTATACAAACACACATGTGGCTCAATAACAACATGTTAAAATGAAAATGATGTTTTTTGGAAAATGGTAGAACAATGTTTTGCTCAAAGATCCATCATAGAATAGTATAAACCGTTTTAATACTGCAATATTTGTTTAGAAAGACAATGCCTTGGGGCTCTGCGGTTACGTTGAAATGGTAGCAGCAAAGAGAGGGGCAATTTAATCCAGCTTTAAAGCTTCATGAAGCAGAAATTGGGGGCTACATTTCATTCAGGGTTTGGAAATTACATGGAAGCATTCTTTTACCTTGGTCTCCTTTCAAGGAGTGTTCAGATTCACAAAGCTCTGACAGACCATTGTAAAGCATTGTGCTGGGAGGTACTAATTGGCTAACCATTGCATTGATACTGACGCAGAGGTATAGAATTCAGCCTTCAGTGGTCTATTCCAATTGCATTTTCTCCAATTCATAGATATGACTGTCTAAATACTCTAGCTGGCTTCCCATAATCAACTAAATCATGGTTAACAGAACCTGTGTCCTCCACGTTCCTGCTTTTAAATCCCCCAATTAGCTGTAGGGTCTCCTTCTCCTATGTTGTATCTCTGATCCTTTCCCCCAAGGCTTCGTCTGGTTCCGACTATGGTACTGATTCTTCTTTTCTTCTTGATTCTTCTTTTCTTCTTGGATACAGGACTCACTAACAAGACATTCTGTGCTGTCTCTCTGTTTAAAGGACTCCTAAGTATTTCTCTGGCTTTTGGACAAAGCCACCATGTGTCATGACAGAGAAAGATGAGTAGGGAAGTGGGCAATCAACAACACTTGACAAAAGTCTGATAATGCTGGGGAGGGGGGGGCAGGGGCAGGAAACGCTACTACCACATTCTCCATTCTTGCTGTTGGACAGCAGTGTTGAGCATACCTGCCACTCTTTTTCATATTTTTAGAAGGCTGAACAGGAGGAGGTTAATGGATCCCTGAGAATTGCTAGAGATTGCTTTAAGAGACCTCTAGGCAGGGTAGCCAGATAGTTTCTCTTTACGTTTATGCTTAGCAGCTATCTTTTAATCACTGTCTCTTCTGGATGACTAGGATACTGGTAGATAATGTGTATTTATTAAAAGAATCTATATGCTGCCTGATTCATCAGTGGGCTACCCATGCTGTAGATGCCACCCTGGTACCAATTAGGCTCCCTATTTCACTTGCCTTTTTTTTCTAGATTCCTTTTAAAATCAAAATTAAATCAGAAGTTCACATGCAAATGTTCTGGATGCTTCAGCAGCCAACCTCAAACATAGGCCTTATAAAAAATACCCGTGCACCCCACATAGGCCCCGTAGGAACTAATGGTCACAAACAAGCAAATAACACAACTCAAGCAAGCAAATAATACTGAAACATTCATTTCATTACATATTTGCAGAGAGTAATTGCCTAATACATTGATGCTTTGGCCTGTAGCATGATCAACGGAGGTCATTGAGCAGGTATGCAGATTCAGGATTAGTACTGTATTCTTTGTCTCTAAAAAGCAATTAGTCAAAACCAAACTTCTAGAATTCTGTGGCAGAGATTTAATTGCAATAATGATTTGTTGAGCTGGTTTGTTGAAGAAAGAGGATTTTAGCTGAGTTGCTCTGATCCCACATGGGAGGACATGTGGAGAGGCCATACAGAGGAGAAGGCAGAAGATCAAGGAGTTATTCTCCAAAGCTCCTTGTTGACAATCACTTCATTCTGGTACTAGTTCAAACAGTGCTCTTATTTTGGTTTACAGAGCATCTAATATCATCTAGATGTGTTTGGCTTCATCTCCTATAACTCCCACTCCACGTAAATTATGGAATTTGTTGTCCAATGTATCTGGAGGGCAGAAGGTTGGAGAAAGTGATTATATGAAATGTCTTCTCAAAATTTTGATTTGCTGGCACTATCATTCTTCAGTTCTAGGGATGAAATCTCTGAACAAGTGTCTTTCCTTTAAAGCATCTTGTCTATACACACACACATGAGCATTTAGGGTTTCACCCAATCATTTAGCGTGTTGCAGTGAGACTCAGTTGGAACCCTTGGTCATGGAAAGTAGGACTTAGGCAGGAGTTTGGATAATGGAAACAGTTTAGAAAAAAAGGAGTTGGTTGGAGGAAGGAACGTAGCATTGAAAGGGCAACCATATCTGAGCGTTTTCATCTTCACTTTAGAAGGATGATTCAACGGCATTCCTCTGCAAGAATGTTTTTGCCCCTGCTCATTGAGGGAAGTCAGTTCAATCATACTCTTTTACCTCCCCTTTTTGTTCTCTATGGCACAAAGACTTAACCTCCTCATTCTTCACAATTTATCTTGGAAACCTAGACGGCAGCAACCTTGATATCTGCCTTTTAGTTGTTAACAACATATTCTAGGAATGTCCAACACTTTGTGTAATTACAACTGCAGTTTGTGCAAGGATTGTGTAATCACCTTATAGCACAGCTTCCCATATTTGAGAAGGCAGAATCTTAACCACTTTAATACGTCACCTCCCACTTTATTATACCTATCTATAGTTATTTCTAAACTATTTTGACATTTTAGTATTTAGCATTAAACCAGTGTTTTAGTAGCTCAGCAGCTTACCATTCAGCAACATAGGATTGGATTCATGTAATGATTAAGCAGTTTTGTTAGTTGTTAGTTCTTAGAACTTCTCCTATATTCCAGTATTTTACCCTTATAGTTATGGTGATACAGTATAGGGATTGTGTATCAGCTCAGTGACATTTCGATTATATATGAACACAAGAAAGATGATGTATAGACTGATGGCCCCGAGCCCCACTCCAAGTGCTGCATGGGCCAAATTGCGTGCCAGCTTGGAATTTCGTCGAGCAGATATTGCATTTCCAGTGCGGTTGGCTTCTTGGGTCTGAGAATAAAGAAAGATGAGGGATATATTAGTGAAGAAATACACCAGAGAGCAGGAAAGAACATCTCCAGTCTGTAGGTATGAATGGTCACTGCACACATAGGTAGGTAGTCTTTTTGTCTCAGTCTGTCTGAGGTGGGAACCAGCAGAACATAGATTGAATGAGACTCAAGCTGACAATTTGGATTTTTGCAGTTATATATGATCAGTGATGAAATCTTCCCCTTAGTACAGTGTTGTCCAAACTTGGCCACTTTAAGATGAGTGGACTTCAAC